GTGCCTCGGGACAAAAAAGGGAGAGTTCTGAAGGTTGTAAAGAGGAACTCAGAGAAGAAGCCTGGTCAGGCAGCCTGCTCCTCTCTGCCTCTGAGTGGCTAAGGGTCCTTGGAAAAAGGATTTCATTTTTCTGAACCTCAGTTTCCTATTCTGTAATAAGCTGGCAATATTACCCCTTTCATCGTCCTCGTAATGAAATAAGGTAATACACGCATGATAGGCACAGAGAGGCCTTAGCTGGCATCTACTCCCACCCCTCATCAAAGGCAAAAAAGAAACGAGTTCTTTGAATTAACCAAACTGAAAAGAGAGATCTCTAAGTAGACTTTTGTTGGAACTGGAAAATGAAACAAAGCAAAGCAACAAAACAAAAACTTAAAAGAAACTGGCGTTTGTAAACATTAATTTCCATATTTCAAATGTTCTTTTACTGCTCTCTTCATTTTTTTTTAACTTTCTGCCCTCCTCCTCTTCTTCCTCCCCTTGTTTATTTTCCCCTTCTTTTCTTAGTAGAATGCTTTTTTGAAAACTTCCAGCTTTGACTCCACTAAGAGGGAAGAAGGGTAAGTTGCTACTGAGGTCAGGAATCTATGGAAAGCAGAGTGCCCTGGGGGCCAACCCAGCTGCGAAACAAAAGCACAAAAGCTGGCTGAGCTGGGAGATGAATATTCTAGAGGGAGGAAGTGTTGGGGATAACTAAAAATTGCAGTCTTTCCGGCCTGGGATTGACTTTCCCAAATTCTCCTTTGCTTACACAGTTGATTTACTTTACTGGAAAGTGGTGCTTTGCCTAGGCCATCTTATATTTCCTCTCGTATTCCCTTAGAATCGCTTAAGTTTTTTCAGGCCCATGTGTCTCATTTACCAACCAAATTGCTGGTTGGAATAAGGGAATGCATCTTCTCCTTGAGTTCTGCCTCTGTGTGTGAACAGGAAAGAACCGGGCTTTGGGGTCACAGAGCTGGGGGTTGAACTTCAGCTCACTACTTATTATTCTTTTTCTAGCTTTTTTTGTGTGTGTGATGAAGATTGGCACTGAGCTAACATCCATGCCAATCTTTCTCTAATTTTCGTATATGGGACACCACCATAGCATGGCTTGATAAGCAGGGTGTATGTCTGCACCCGGGATCCGAACCCACGAATGCACAAACCCTGGGCCACCAAAACAGAGTGCATGAACTTAACCATTTCTCCATTGTGCTGGTTCTGGCTCACTACTTATTAGACAGGTGAACTTGGGCCAATTACTTACCCCCTCTAACTTTCTTCATTTGTAAAGTGGGCGTGTGAAAAGTAACAGCCACATAGGCTTGTCTGATTGAGATAATACATGTAAAATGCTAGCCTAGAAATGGAGCCGAAGAAATATTCATTGCATGATAGCTACAGTGATTATTTTTTAGTCTCTTTTTCTCTCTTCCACAAGTGCCTAATTGTACTAAGTTTAGTAAGGATTTGTCAGGTGAACTATGTGAATGAAACAAGAATATACTATCAGTCAGGGCAGGAGATATATTATAGAAAAAGGCTTGCTTACGTCTTTCTAAGTTTTGAAAAATTTTAGCATTCTAGGTTATGTTTTAGCATGAAACCAGAAAGGGAAACATAGAAACATGAATATAAATACAAAGGAATATTCTGCACTGTTGTCATAGTGGTTAGGAAATCTTACGTAAATTATTTTTAGTGTCTTATCTACATTAGTAGAATACTGTAGTATTTGATAAGTTAAAAAACAACAGGGCTTCATTTCCATGAAACTAAAAGAACTAATCTAAAACACAATAATTCCGTTCAGTTTTGTTTTGGTGAGGAAGATTGGCCCTGAGCTAACATCTGTGCCAGTCTTCCTCTATTTTTTTGTATGTGAGATGCCACCACAGCATGGCTTGATGAGTGGTGTGTAGGTCCACGCCCAGGATCTGAACCCACAAACCCCAGGCCACCAAAGTGGAGCGCATGAGCTTAACTGCCACACCACCAGACCACCCCATCAGATCAGTTTTAAAGACTGAAAGAATACTTAGATTCCAACCCCCAAATTAGTGGCTTTTTGGCTGGATGAGGCTACCTAGTAGGTACCTTTCTGCCTCTGAGTAACTTGTTACTTTCTTTCTAAGTGACTTGCTATTTCAAAATATTTAAAATGTTAATTAAATATTTTTATGCATACACCATGTACTAGGCACCTGGGATTAGAAAATGAGCAAGCTACAGTTGTAACCTTGGAAAACAAAAATAAGGTTGCAAATGTATTGAGTACACAGAAATTGTCATTTGAAGAATGTGGTTGTGCTCGTTTGTGCTTATTAGAAGACTAGAGTGAAATCAATCTGATCATTCCTGCTGTGTCCTGGTTATGGAACTCTGTGTCCATATGTATTTTCCAGGTTGTTGGTTTACTAGGTTAGGCGGATATTTATTTTCCATCTTGTGAATGACAGTCAGAATTTATGCCCCAGAGTCAGAAGCTTGGGTGAGCCATTTGCTAGGGCCCTGAAAACCACCTTTCTCTGTCATACAAGCAGTTGTTGTAATCAAATTGGCTCCATTCCTAGAGCAGGCTGTGTGACTCAGTGACAGTTGCAATCAGAGCGTGGAGTTGGAGACAAAGAAGTCATAGATCAGGAAATCACAGAGACAATGGCCAATTGGGATTGGATGGTTTTATATGAGTGGAGTGATTTTTTTTGAAGAATTTTTTTTCTTTAAATATCATTCATGAAAGACACATTTAATCCTGTCACTTTTGCATGAGATTTAAATAATTTTTTGTCCTGGTAATACTCTGTTCAACACTACAAGTGATTCTCTACTTAGGGACAGCCCCAAATATTATAACAACCCTTCAGCACTTCCAAAGCTTTTAGATCCGTGCTTGGTGAGGGCATATATGCCCACTCTCCCTTGAATTAGATCCACTTTTCCAAGTCATTTTGATTTTAACATCCACTCCAGGCTACAGCCAATTCATTCTGGTAAAGATAGAGTTAATTTCCAAGAGAAATCTTAAATCAGAGGTTCTCAAATGTTTGGAAGTCCACAAGATGCATGTTTCATTAAAAAAATGATCAAGCACTTAATGTTCCTATCAATCTAGTTATTAATAGTTATAAATGTGCATGGCAAATGATAATAAAGGTATACATTTGTAACTATTGGTCAACTACAAGGGGAAGGTGCAAACGATTAGGGGAGGATAAATAAGGCTGGGGAGTTGTGGTGGTTATAATACAGTTTATTTCTTCTGTTTTTACAATATCAGTTATATGGTCAAGCAAGGTGGAAATACCTGGGTAACACCAGAGGCATCCTCCTTCATGGTGGTTGGGTAGAACTCCTGTAGCACAGGGTAACGATGAGGGAAACCTAGAGACAATAACAGAGAAAGACACTAGACTCTGAAATAATGTCCTCACATACACTTAAAATATTAGGGTAGGGAAGCAACTGTTTCGTACTGTACTTGGTGTGCTCTTGGTGTGAAATGATCTTATAGTACCTCAAGACGGAATGCGAGGGCTCTGTATGAGGCAGTTTGAAAAAGCCCTGGAGAATTGCGATGCAATTTGAGACACGTAACTGTGTGAAGATCAGACTACATCACCCCAAAGTGAAGAGCCACTACTTGGCGAAAGAATTGGAGTGACCACTGTGTGTGATTCAGTTGACCAGGTACTTGAAATGAACATACCTGTATGACTGGGTCACCGTGTCAGGACCTCCCACCCCAAGGAGTGTATGCAGGGATAGAGTTTATTTTTCATTCTTTTTCTCTCCCAAAGGAATTTTGTTTTTGTAGTGGTTCATTGTTTGAAGATGGAAATTTTGTATTTTATTAGGAACATACCTGTCTGCATGGAACAATATCTCTTCTTTGTGGAAATAATTGCCATCAATAGCATCTGCAGAAGCTTCATCCAAAAATATTTATTGGGCACCTATTGTGTTCTCGGTGCTTCTCTAAGGTCTTGGGATACAGTGATGAATAAAATGGACAAAGATGCCTGCCCTCATGGTAGTTACACTTTAGTGTGGGTGATTGAAAATAAAAAACCTAATAAATAAGTCAATTAAGTAGTATGGGAAAATAAAACGAGGTGGCAGGGTAAAGTAGGAGTGCTGAGGGAGAGTGTTGCAATTTTAAATAGAGTGATCAGGGTAGGCCTCGTTGAGAAGGTAACATATGAGCAAAGACTTAAAGGAAGTGAGAGAGTTAGACATGTGGCTACAGAGCATTTTTAGGAAGAGGGAATAGTCAGTGCAAAGGTCCTAAGGTCACTATTTTTACATGGCTCACTGTCTTCTTATCCAAGAAGTATGGCGTGCTACTCATAGGGAGGTTATTGTATTCCTCTGTTCTGGGCCATATTTTACACATGTTGCCTGTCTCCGTCAACATATGTAGCATAGGGAACCAATTCAATTACAGAGTATTAATTTTTTTTTCTGTTAGACTAAACAGTTTGGGAAGGAACAATTGTTGCTGACTACCTATATCTATCAACTATAAGATGGACATACTATAAGGATAATTGTTGTCTCCTCAGCAATTTAACTGATGAACTTGGCAACACCATAACTACTTAGTAAATGAATGATATCTCACACACGCACACACACACACACACACACACACACACACACACATATTTTCTCTATGTGACATTTTGCTCCCAAATCTATTCTTTGATAATCTTTGAGGTACATGGAGTTGTATTGATACCAAGTATTTAATAAGCAATTTCAGATGCAGAAATGCAATTTCATACCATATGATAAACTCTAGAATAAAACATTTCTGTAACATTGTGGCATCATGGATATAAACGAATGATGATAAACTGTGACCATATATATATATATATATATATATGTATGTATATAAAATTACATATAATACATAAAACATATATATAATTGAATATACATACATATGCATGCATACATGCATGCTCACACATGTAAAAGGGAAAAAAAGAGATTCATTCCAATCTTGGAAATGTAAATTAAAAAAAAATAAGAGTCCGCATACCCCTTGCCCAGACAGAGAATAAATTAGGCAAACCATAGAGATCATTAACAAACATTTCTTGGGCGCCTAATATTGGTGGATACTGTGGCAAGCACCCTGGTTCTGTTGCAGAACTTGAATTAATTCTGCTTCTAGGGGAAGCACAATATAACAACAACAACAATAACCACCACCATGCACTGAGCCCTGACTACTTGCCGAGGAATGTGCCACGTGCGTGTACTTGCATTGTTGTATTATTGCAATATTGCATCATTTAACCCTGTGCAGTAAGTAATATTACTATCAACAGATGAGAAAACAAAGGCTCAGAGAAGCTAAGAAACTTGTGCAAGACCTCAGAGCTCGTAAATTCTAGATCAAGCATTTGAAACCAGGTATTCTGTCTCTAGGGCCTGTAGGCTTGACCACTGCCCTGTGTTACTTGAGAAGGATCCCAGAAGTAGTGTGAGAATACTGGAGTCACATGAGACCCAGGTTTAAATCTTATTTCTGTCTCTTATGTGGCCATAGACAAGTTACTTATTTTTTGAGACTCCAAGGTTAATAGTATTATACTGATATCTAAAATACAGTAGTTATAGGACTATAGTATCTTTAAAAATCTATAGATGCTGGTATCTATAGTACTAGTGTCCAACAGCATAGATAATAGCATTTACTTTGCCAAATTGTCATAAGATTAGAGCGCCTGCCACATGGTTGCTATTCAATAAATGATAGTTGTCATGATTTAACTGTTAACTCTGAGTCTAAACAGTCATAGAGGAAGAAGGTTATGCCAAACTCAGAGTACACCAAACTTTTCCTTTTCTCACTAACCAGGACTACTGGCGACTCCTTGATAAGTTGTCCCTAGAATCAAATGTCGCCATTGCTGGAGGAAAGAAGACCAGGGCGTGCGTGCTCCTTCTGCATTCTGCACAGCTTAGGAAATGAAGCTCATTTATTTAATTGACACCAGAGCTTTGGCACCGTGTAAAGTCTTCCTCTAGAGGAAACAGACAACCAGCTAATGTCCCAAGGAGGGAGGGACAATTAGCTAATTCATGACCTAAGGTCATAGTTACAGTATACTCTTTTAGCCAAAGATAGTAATTTGCTAGCCTAAATAACACCAAACCAAGATTACCAATGTTGCTAGAGAAAGTGCTGCTTAAGGATAGGTCAAGCCCCAAATTATAAAACTGAAATTCCGAGATGTTTGGGATGCTCAGAGATGTTAGGATTTTCATAGGGATTTTGCAATAGAGATAGAAAATCAAGCCTAAAACAAGTTATTATCCTGAACAGTAGAAGTATAAACAGGATACTAATTAATGAGCATTCTAGTAATTTTTAAGGGCATAATATGATATCAGAGCTGGAAAGGGTTTTAGAGCTCATTTATTCACACTCTTCTTTTTTTTTTTTAGGTGTGGAAACTGAAAGCAAGAGAAAGAAAATGCTGTGGCCAGTTCCATATGGTACAGTAAAATATTTCTCATCTTGATTTTCTCCTGGATGAGGAGAAGGGCCTTAGTGAGAAGCATAGTTTAGAGGGGTTCTTCAAGCCAGGGGCCTTGCTAAATTTAGATTTGGTTCCTGCTTATGTAATTTTCCTTGCATTTTCAATTATTTATACAAATATATTATTTATATATGTCTGGAACTTGTGCTTTTAGCACTCAATAAACAGGAATAATTTATAGGATTCTGGAGTGCTTCCTGTCCTTACCTTTCAGAGTATGTCCTTTTGCATTGTTAGTTAATTGTCGTATTTCAGCCTTGTGCAGCTTCCTTTCCCAGCAGTCTTGTGATGATGCTTAACTAGCCAGAGAGAGCTATGTTAGGATCTACCTTCATCTTCATACTCAGATTCCAAAATCCAGGTTAATTATCTTGTTAGCCGTTTCCCTAGCACGGCTCCCTGTGGGGGGCTGAGTGACATGACCGAGCAGATCATGTTCCTTAAGTACAGTGAGACCACACTGAAAGAGGAAGCAGGCTGCCAGTCCGGAATAGAAGTTGCCTTTGCTTCAAGTTTCTTCTTTGCCTCTGCTATTTTTTTTTTTTCATAGAGTTCTTGACATACTCTTTCCTCTCCCCTCCCTCATCACCTTTTTGCCTTCTGCTCCCTTGCACTGAGCTCATGGACCTCTGTCATCCCGGCTCATGGATGTGGGTCCGGATTCTACCACCAGAAATGATTCCTGATTTTTGCCTCTCTCCCTACACTGCTCTTTGCCAGGTTTTCCCCATGTCTGATGCTGCAAGCCCTTGGGTCTCACCCTGCCTTGGATTTCTGAGGTTCTTGTCCTGTAACCCACAGGACTGAATGACAGCTGCTGGGAAGAGCCCACACAGCAGGTGCCCCAGAGTGGTGCTTGTGTAGAAAGAGGCCTCTGCAGGGCTGGGGCTGGCTGAGGCGGCACCGCAGCCTCCGCTTCTGCCCCTTTCCTTGCTGCCTCCTCGGCATTGCTCAGAGCAAATGGAAGAGGTCCTTGGTTCTTTCTCTCTGAGCCTGGAGGATAGAGCTCTCTAATCAGTTTTTAGAAGAGTAAATATAGTGCCATACATAAACTTTCCCTCCATGGAAAGGGAGAATAAAGATGGCAAACTGAGATGGGCTGTCTCTTTTTGCTACTGTCACTCAAAGGCATGAGGTCCTTTGCTGTGGTTAGTCCCTGGAGAGTGGTCTTTCCAAGCTTCCTTCTTTTTTTTTCTTTTTTTAAAATTTTCTCCCCAAAGCCCCCCAGTACACAGTTGTGTATTCTAGTTGTGAGTGCCTCTGGTTGTGCTATATGGGACGCCACCTCAGCATGGCCTGATGAGCGGTGCCATGTCTGCACCCAGGATCTGAACCAGCGAAACCCTGGGCCACAGAAGCGGTGTGCACGAACTTAACCACTCGGCCACGGGCCCGGCCCCTCCAAGGTTCCTTCTGTCTCTTTGATGGAGGCACCAGGTGAGCAGCCCCCTCTCAGGCCGTTTAATCTGAGGGTCAGAAACTACCTTACCACAGTCATGAGTATTTATGAGGATAGAGACCAAATACACCATTGAGTTGACGTGAGAGGCTATTGAGACGTAAACAAAATAATTCTTAGGAAAAGGGGCCATGGAGAAAAGTTTCTCTTCCCTTTTCTCAGCATTGTCAGGAATTTATTTTCTACTTCATGGCTTGGGACACAGTGGTCAGTCATAATATTAGATGTCAGAATGTGTTGAATGAGGATCGATGGGTGGATGAATGAGCCTCTCAGTGGAAGACATGGAACTCTCTAGACCTGAGCTTGTTCATGCTGGGAACTCCCTGTGACACTATATATGTGTCAGAAACCCTGACAGCAACTTGAAAGGCTGAAGCGGTGCACCTGGGAATCTCCTAGTTCCGTGAGACTGACTGGCTACCGCACTGGCTATCTGGAGCCTCCCTCTCGGGACAATTTGTTCTCTAGCACACTTCAATGGATAGATGCCAGGAGGTTCTGATGCCCTATGGGGCCAACTAGGTGGCCAGGGAACTCCACCCAATCCTACCTGATTAGGCCAAATAGGTGGTAGTTAACTGTGTTAAAGGTGAAGGAGAGGATTTTGAGAAAGATTCCATAAACGCCCCAGGCAAAGAGTTTTCATAAATTCATCTGGTTACAAAATGTGCATTTGCTCCATATTTAAAACATCTTATATTTTAAGAGTTATTTATGTTTATTGTAAAAGATGCAGAAAGTACAGATGAATAAAAGTCAATTCCACCCCCCCTCCCCCCCACCGTGTGACGCCCTGTTCCCGCCCCGTGAGTAAGCACAGCCGAGTTTCTTGTTTATCTTTTCAGGACTGTTGAATGCATGTAGAACTGGGATATGGAAGGGCCTAGACTAAATGGGGGCAAAATCCAGAAAAGTAGCTCTATTCTTCCTCTAACCCAAGCCCCTCACGCTCACTCTACAGAGTTCCCTGCACATCCCTTGGGTGGTATCTTGGGCAGATCCTGCAGCTTTTCCAAACAGGTCTAGATGTTAACACAGTCTTTTATTTTTAAATGTATTTTAAATGTATTACATTTTCAAGTGTACTGCAAAATCTAATCAAAATCGAAAGTTCTTCCTAACATCTAGTTGAACATTTCTCCTCTTCCCGGAGCTGAAGCCTAATCTGTTCAGAAGCCTACAGGGAGACAGAGGAGCTTGGGATGTGGCTTTTCACACCCTTCCTCCTTGCTTTTCCACTCCTCTGGATCCCGCACTGAACCCCGCTGCCCCTGGCTCCTCCAGGACTGGGCTACGGAGGTGAGATGGCAGGTAAAAGGATGAGGCCTTGCTCAATGGGTGCTATGGGATCAGAAACCTACACCATGTGGGTGGTGCATACCTCGTGCTGGCATTTTCTTACATGGGATGGTTCTGTCAGTTTTTCAGACACTCCCTCTGTCCAATAAGGGATTTTGCTCTCTGTTGTGGGAGATACTTTCTCAGCCTAGCCTCTCATAACTCTCCCTAAAGTACAGTCTTAAGGTTCCCTTCATCTCTCAGATTTTTTCCTGCTGGGGTTATCTTGCTCCAGTAGGCAGGGCTCTGGGGTGAAATCTTTTCAAGATGGCCCAGCTTGGCTAACTTCCAGCGCCATCGCTTAGCCCTCGGGAAACTTGGCATGGTTGCCCCACTGAACCCTGGAAGAACCACAGCCCTCTTTCTTTGCTATGCCATTACAGGTCATTTTAGGCAAGCTCTGGCCTTGGCCTTTGCCAGGCAAGAGGCAGGCACCTCATTCTGTGCCTCTGAGTTTTAGGGAACACAAGAGCTCTCATTCTCTTGCAAGAGCCTTCTCAATTTTTGCAGATCGGCAAGTAACGAGATGAGGGTGAGATGCTTTTTCTCCCTCTGATAAGCCCCCTCCATTCTCTAGGAGGTTTTCTCTTTCTTTCCCTCTCTCCTGTCCTCCATTCAGCCTTTCTCATGAGGAAGGGAACCCCATGGGGCTATAATGCTATTAGGCCAACAACACTTATCCAAGCTCTCCTTTTCTTCCTCACTCTGATTGTCCTCTAACATCCTCTTAAATACTGAAGGTGAGTCATGAGCTAAGGGTCACAGTATATGGTTTTGTTTACCTTTTAGTAAGTTATGAATGGATAGTGTCGTAGCTCTATTTACAATATGGGGGAACACGTCAGTTACTATCATTAATGTTGAAATCTCAGCCCAAGTTCGGATACAACAGGAAGTCCATTTAAGCAACACACACACACACACACAGTTTTCTAAATATTATAAATCCTTTCTTAACTTCAAATGGGAGTATACTATGTTTACTGTTCCAGAACTTGTTTTCTTATGAACTTAGACAACTTGCATTGTCAGTACACATGCATGCACTAGAGTATTGCATTACACGGATGGCTGTTCCCAGATTTCTGTTCTGACAAACAATGCTAAAGTGAAGAGTCTTTGTGTACTTTTGGGAACGTATCTGCAGAAGAAACTCCTAATAGAAGAATCACTTTGAATTTACAAGCAAAAATTTAATATGTGTTACCAATCTGCCAACTTTTTATCGGTTTTCACTCTAATTATGAGCATGGGGGAACATCTTTCCATACATTTATTGGTCTTTGAATCTTTTTCCTGAGTTGCCTAGATATCCCTTTGCTTTTTTGTGGTCATGATTTTCATATTGATTTCTAAAGAGCACCTCCTACCTTAAGGACTGTTGCATTTTTCTGATACGCAAAATGAAACATTGCCTCTAGTCCTTCTTTGATACATTGATTTGGTATCTTTTGTCTTTTCCTGTAAAGAAGTTTTACAATTTTATGTAGTAAATCCATCAGTTTTTTTCTTTTGTGGCATCTGGACTTTATGACATCCTTAGAAAAGCTCCAAGGTTCTAAAAATATTCACCCATTTTCTTCTAGTGTTTTCATGGCATCATATTTTTACATTTAAATTATTGATCCTTGTAGAATATATTTTGGGGTAAAGTGTGAGCTTTTTTGCATCTAACAAAGCAAACTTTTTACCTCCTAGACTTCTCCACTCCTTCTTCTCTTCTTCACATCCCTGAACAGAAATCTAAGTTATACTCAGAGTCCCTCTTTAAACACATAGCTTCTCACATAATTAAACACAAAAGCAAGTAAAAAAGGCAAAAACTTTTTGTTTTAAATTATGCCCACTGTTCACTTTCCAGGATTCTTAGCCTGACTTTTCTGGGTATGGGCCTCTTGGACCAATACTTCTTTTCATGGCAGTTGTAATGTCTTTTCAAATCCAATGGTGAAAGAGGCAAGAATATTTACCCCTCCGCATTTTTACATCCGATGCCAGGAGAGGGGAAGTAACAGGCCCAAGGTCACAGAACAAATTAGGGTGTCGAAATCCAAGGTTCTGAGCCATCTAGCCTGTTCCACTAATCATCCGACAACATCATGTACAAAGCACAGGTAGAAAGCATTCTTCTGATTGCATCACTCGCTAAATTACAT